CTTTTTTTTTTTGCGGACTGTACATATATGTTATATAAGTTGAAAATAAAGTTAAAACAAGGAAGAGAATGAAAAAAAAATTATAAGATATATAATCTCATCATCAGCTCACACGATTATATCCGAAAAAAAAGTGCTTTCTAATAATAATATAACCAAAGCAAAACATATCAATACAATAATGTGAGGAGCACCAAAAAAATAGAGATGAAAATAGAACATATTAAGGAAAAAATTAAAAAAAAAATGCATAATAAAACAAACAAGCAAAAATAGAAAATGAAAATTTAAGAAAATGCGGATTAAAGCACAAAATGTAATATATAAAGTCAGTAGCGAATTCAGATGTACTTACACTTACAGGCATTTTTCAAGAATGATTTGAAATGTTTTTGTAACTAGTTTGCCAGATTACAAAATATAAAAATAGAAGCGCAAATCGAAGTTGAAGGGAATCAACAAATAGTGCGTTCTTACTGAAGTACAGAAGCTCGTTTGATTTGTTAATTATAAAACTTATTTTTCTTCTTCGTTACTTTCTCTTTTCTTATATGAATTTTGTCTTTATTATATATATAACGTCGTTGCCGAGTGGAATGATTAAAACAGGTCTTCGGCAGGGAAGGTGGGTACAAAATTTATTTATTAATTATTAGACAGAGCAGTCATGAAAAAGTACACGAAAAGTTGAGTTTCTTCATTATATGTTAGGAAAAATCTTGCAAAGTAAATCCGTAAAATGTTTCAATTTAGGGAAAGAGGGAAATCTTAGTAATTGTAATTGGTTTATCAAATAGGTCGAGCATTTCCCGCAGAGAGTAAAGGGAAAAATATCTTGCTTTTAATTATATGCATACTTGAGCCAGAAATAGATTTAAGGACTGAATGTGAATTTAAAAGTGTGAGAAAGTGTTTCGATTAGATAAATAAAATAAAAGAAAAGGATATTCAGAAAAGAACTAACATAAAAAGATTAANTATATATATATAACCTTTTTATTTTCCTTTCATTTTTGTGTAAATAATGATATGATTAAAGAGCTTGCGTTGCTTTATTTTGAAATATAGTATTAATATTTTTTTTCTTGGCTGTTCTCAGAAAAAGTACAATCTCACCGTTCCCAGTTGGGTTCCTAAAATATTTGATGAATTGAAAGATGTTGCAGCTCATACATATTCTTTAGTATACAATTCAACTGACATTCTGCAATTGAGAGCAGGTGAAAATATGATTTTCTTTTTATTAATGTTATGGTAATTTTCGCTAAAATTTTATTTTATAATTTAAATTGATTCGTTAGACATCGAGGCTAAGGGTAAAAATTTTTATTGACCCTTTTTTTCTTCATGAGTAATATAATATGTTGGATTGCAAGAAAATTACTTTGAATTTAAACATCGCAGTTAAAAAAATTGATATGGAATTACAGTAAGTGAGAGTATTGCTTCATAAGTTTTGCAATTTAGATTAATCAATTAATTATAAGTAAACTATATTTTTTTCCAAATGACTGTTGAAAAAAAATTAAGAATTTTTAAAATTATAATTATATCCTTAATCGAGTAAAAATTAAAAATCTTACACAATATTCCTTGTGTACAATTGTAATAAATCTTACACAATGTTCCAAACATGTACAGTGTACGAAATAAAAAAGATATAATCCTAAAAAACTTACCTACTAATGATTAGTATACATTAGAACGTAATATATATTAATCATTAGAACGTATATATATACACACTAAAAAGTTATTTAGTATTTAATAGAACCAAGAACATCCGCATTCGTCTTGCTCTGACCACAATGCTGACGTGAAATATCCTCAGTGGTAGATGGATCATACTTTAAAGTCCCCTTGCCGTCGGACTAACCGTTTTCGTAATTTTCCTCTCCATGTAACGCGAATGCAGTTTAGTTCCATCAAAAAATCCTCCATAAAGGGAAATTTTTTTCTATACTTGATCCAGGAGTTCCCTTGTCTTTTGTATTGGGCTCAAAATTATAAGGATACGGCGTTGAACATCAGTAGTAGTAAATTCAATAATTAAGTCGGCCGTTCAACGACGATTATAAAATAAAATAAAATGCTTCTATTTTATAAATTACTCTTCATTTTTGCATACGTGTGAAATACAATGTGAATTCTAATTCATCCTCCTTCGCTACCATATATTTGAGTTTCCATTTGAGCTTGAAATTTTTTTACATTACTTACATTTATTTCATTAAAATTGGAATTAATAATGTGAAGATATATTTGAAATTCGGTTTACTTTAAGCAGATAATTCTACTTTTTCAAGTGGAATTGTTCATTCTACTCAAAGTAGAAAATGTCATATATAAAGAGTTGAGTGGAAGAAAAGGGTAAGGGACATTTTCAGATAGGCTATAATCAGGGTAAGAAGAAAAAAAGTTTATCTGAACTATTTTATTATAGAATTTTAATTTATAGAGTATTTTTATTTTATTCGAAGGAGTAGCTAATAATTTTCTGCCTTAAAATTTGGCTGTGTTCAATTTGAAATAAAAACCGTGCAAGCTTACTCGAAACTATTGTGGATTAGTTATGTAAAAAAATAAAGTTGAAGCAAAAATAATTCCGTTATATTAAACATACCCATATTGATGCAATTTCTTTTTCTCTGATTCATTAATACTTTGAAAAAAGTCACTTCCTTGGTTCTCCCACGAAGTTAGTAGTTCATAATAGTTTCTTCATAAGTTCTTATTTTAAAGGTCCTGCTCTTGGGCTCATAAATAAAGTGTTTGATGACAAAATAAACAATAATGCTCCAGAACTGAAATTCCGTACATATTCAACAGTAAGTATAACTCAAATTTTGAATCAAAATGAACGTTGATTTTTTGTTATATTTTTTATCGCTGTATCTATCGTCAACTAGATTTAAAATCGAAATAATAAGTTGAAATATTTTTTTCTATTCTAACTCTGTAATATCTTTTCGAATTTTACGCTGAAAAATTTCAAGAATTATGTGAATGAGTTCATTTATTCAAGTTAATAAAGAATCTAGCGTTCACACTCATTAAAAAAGTTGTAGTTAATTTTTCATGAAATATATTCGCCAATTTTGGCGTTGTTTTGGAAACCGTCAGATATCAACGGTAGATTGTTTATAACAGAGCAGAGAAGATGAAAGTTAGTTTCCCCTTGCAACCTTAAAGAAAATTCCACAGAAACGAAAGTAAACTGTCTTCTGGTATTATGTTCTTTTCTAGAATAAGTGCCATTGATGAGCTAATTCAGGTTATTGTGCTATAAGACTTATTCAACTTAACTGGTATTCTTTAATAATATCATTATTTCATTTATTTATATACTAATTTTCGTCTTAATTTTCTCTACATATCTATAAGGATGAAGTACATGACCTAGACTTTAGCTTTTCTTAGAAATAATTCCTAAATCCTTTTAGAATCATTCCTAATTCCGAGCTTATAATTATTTATTTTTTCAACAGTAACTATATATAAATAATTATTTTTTAAGCAAAGGGCTATTTTTTTTTCCAACCTGGCGTAATTTTACTTTCTGATAGTTTTCATAGAATTTCTTATTAATTCCTGAAATTTTCGCTTTTTTGAATTAAAACAAATTTAAAAATTCTTTTTAAAAAATAATTCTTACGTTAATTTCATGGAATTTCTTATCAATAATCAAAGTATTATTGAAAAATTTTGACGCTCTCATGAACGTATTAAATTAAAATTTGCAGAATTTTTTATAAAAAAAATCACCCCGGTTTTTTTTATAAAAAAAATATAATTATTTTATTTTTGATATTTTATCTAAAAGTATAAATTCTGAAGTTCAGAGTGCATTTGATTGAAGGTTATTTAAAAATCAGTATTGACACTAAATTTTCTGATTTCTTTGTTAAGGTAGTATAGGCTTTCCCTTTTTTACTGATAATAATCTTTTTTTAAATGAGTCATGCATTTTTCATAGATGCTTTTCAGAAAAACATATTCTAAACAAAAAAATATTCATTTCAGCATGACGTCAACATTGGCGCTGTGTTGGCTGCTTTAAACAATCTTGGCATAGAAATTATTAATTATTGTTCAACTCTTATTTTTGAGCTTTACTCCGGAGCAAGGGGCAATTACTTCATTCGAATTCTTTTCTTGAACACTCAAAATATCGACAAGTTTAATCAAACTCCTAGAGTTTTAATCTTGCCTGGATGCCAAGAATATTGCCCCTATCAGAAATATCTGAAGTTTACAAATGTTTATGCAAGCACCGATTATGAGAAGGAATGCGATATTGATTCGAATGAAGAGAATGTTATCACATCTGAAGTAAGAAAACCAATTTCTTTTAATGTCAATTTCTGATAACATTATTACAGTTAATAATACGAGGGTTGTAAATTAAATAGTGGCAACTTAACCTTGAAACTCACAGAAGGGCGGGCATGCGCAAATAGAATGTATGGGAGCGGTGAGGTGGCGCTGTTGTCGATGTGTAGAGTGCAAAAAACAGTCTATTTGCTTAGAAGGGTAGTTGTTGTGTGGCGTTAAAGTGAAGAGTTTCGTTTCCATCGCTCTAAAGCATGTTTTCAAAAGGTGATCATCGGTCGTGGCTTAAAACCGAGGTTGCCCGTGGCAAAAATGCAACAGAATGCTGTCGTGGTTTAGTGTAAGTCTGTGGCGCAAATGCTTTACCATATAGGACAGTAGCACGATGGGTTCAAGCATCTCGTCTTTTATCGTCATTAAGCTTTTTGACAACATGCTTTAGAGCGATGGAAACGAAATTCCTCTCTTTAACGCCACGCAATAACTACCCTTCTAAGCTGAACGACTGTTTTCTGCACTCTACACATCGACAACAGCGCCACCTCACCGCACCCATACATTCTATTTGCGCATGCCCGCCCTTCTGTGAGTTTCCAGGTTAAGTTGCCACTATTTAATTTACAACCCTCGTAATAATTTCTAAAATACAACAGATGGCACTCTGCGCAGTGATGTAAAAGGATTAATCCCAAAAAACATGTAACCTTACAGCGACCTTGCGACGGAATTTTCTTCTTATATTCACGAAAATAATTTTAATAAAAAATATTTTTCAAATAAAGTTAAAATATTGCAGTTTCAAACCTTTCATCCTAATATGATTAAAAAGTTATTTGTAAAGCCTTTTTAGAAGAAGAATTGTCTTTTAAGTAAGAAACGTAGGTCCATTATGGCGTCTCGGCTGACGTCACACTACCGATGAGATCAAATTACATTGTCCATCAAAATTTCATGACAAGGTGGAGTTTAGCTGAGCATACAAGACGTTGTGAAAATAAACCTTATTATTACCCAGATTTAAGATTATTTTCCCCTTAAGTTTTGTTCAGGGGATTTTTTCACGCTAAGACAACCTCGATTTAAGCTTTTTATATCGTAGGCTGTTTTCCAAGGTTTTGGATGATGTTAATGTGCGTAGAATAGAGCAGGTTGTCATAAATCTCATTTTAAGATTAGAAGGTTTACACGTAAAAGTTTACACGTTACGTTTAAAAGGTTTTTTTTGAGTGAAAATAAACCTTATTTCGCTTTCTGGGAATTGTATTCAGTTTCCTTTATGGCTCTGTACCATATATGGCAACGTTACTTTTATAAATAGTTCTGAAGTTCTTAGATATTTGAATGGACGTTGTTTGACAAGGTCGGGCATAAACATAATTTTAGTAAAAAATGTACAAGGTAAAAATGTATTTAGTAAAAAATGTATTAAGACAAAAATGTATTATTAGTGAGTTCGAAATGAAAATTGAAAAACGTAATAAAGAAATCGAGCTTTTTTTATTTAAAATGTATTAAATAAATGCATAAAACTCGAAAATGAATGAAAATAACTTGCTAATTAATATTTTTATTAATTTTGCAAAATAATTGAATTTCGAAAGTGGTGTCACTGAGTCTGCTGCGAGAATTTCTCAGAACGTGCTTAGCCACGCTGAATAAGCGCTCAACGGGAGCACTAGAAGGAACTGCAGTATTATATTTCACATATAATTTTCTTACGATTGGACATCGGTGGAATTTTTTTTAGAAAGCTTACCGAGTTTTAGAAAAAAGTAACGATTTCATTCGACATTTCCGTTACAAATACTTGTACTTTTTCCCTAAAAAAGTAACGAAAGTACAAGTAAAAGTACTAAATTTAAAAAGTAACGAAGTACAAGTAAAAGTACGTACTTTTTACTTGTACCGGCGGTACAAGTAACGAAAGTAAAAGTACTGCCATATATGCTCTGTACAATGATTCTGTTTTTTTTTAAAGCATTACAAAAGCCTTTAACAAATTATATTTAATAAAAAAAAACAAGGAATAATGCTCATGATACAGTGCCATATAGGAAACTGAATGCAATTAATTCATTTGAATTACTGCACAGAGCGCCATCTGTTGGATTTCAGAAATTATTATTTTTAACAATGAGAAATATTATTAACAGTTATAAAATGCACGTCGTTTGTAATAATTTCAACACCAAGACGAAATTATCAGTAATTAATAAAATCTATTCCCCAGAGATACTAATAAATGCGCACAATAATGGTCCTTGGGCAATCACTTTGGAATTCTGATCGCTCATCACTCCAATCATGCCTAATCGCAAGCTGCAATGTATTCTTGACCTTGGTCAGATGATTTGGATAGCGCTTGAGCTCTGTTCAGGGCCGGCTTATGCATGTCGCGGCCCCTAGGCAATGCTCGTCTCGGCCCCCCTACCGTCTTCTAACTTCCTAATATATTTTTTCGCTAACACAACACTTTATTCATAATTATGCTGTTTTTTACTACATGGGTATATTATC